ATCATCTCCATCGACACACCATGCCCTCGGGCATCCAGCCAGCAGTGAGTACTCTGGAAATGCCTGGAATGGACCTTGGCTTTTCCATACCACTTTGGCTTCCTAGCTAGACTGGGGAGGGAGATGGAGGGCAGGCTGCATGCTTCCCTTTTCCAGTCTTAGCTGGGCACCCAGCACCTAGAGCACATGGTTGAAATCCACAGAGCAGCTCTGACGGTGAAAGACCCTGTGTTGTGAGACGTGGCTGCCAACAAGAGAAAACGAACGTCATTCTCTGTTTGCCCAGAATTTGGGTAAAATATTTTCCTCAAAATCAAACTGAGTTGAAAGGAATTCATTTGGGGAGTTACATTTTGCCTTAATATAAGTTGTTTTTTGTTTTTGATTTAAGCTCTAACTTAAATTAGCAGGTTCTGCTGACAAAGTATATTCCCATCAGCAGTTCTCACTTGACTTGTTTATTGAGCACCTACTGCATGTCAGGCCCATGGCACATTTTATTGATAAGGACTGAGGCCCAGAGGAAGCAAGTGACATGCCCGAGTTTCCTACAGCATGGGTGCAAGCAAGTGGGGAAGTCCGGATTGGAACCCAGGCCCGGCTAGCTCTGAAGCTGGGCTTGTAACCTCCAAACCCTGCGAGCTACACCAAACTGTCTCCTTTGAGTCAAGTGATTGGTTTCTAGCTCTGGATGGGTTTCTAACTCCCCGTGGGAAAGCCTTGGCTTGCCGCTTCATTAAGTAAGAGATGGGTTTGATTGGTGCCTCGCCCATTTGCCTTCAGGGAAGCTATTTTCATTCTTACCACCAGCAGGTGCTGTTGCCTTCAGTAGCTCTGCCAGCCCAGCCTTTGTAGCCTGAAGTTAGGCGGAAAAGCCTTGACTGGGAACAAACTCCCAGATCCCCTCCTGTCTCCATTTCACAGGTAAGGAGGCTGCAGTCAAAAGAAGGACCATGGCTTTGAGAGGCGGAGTCCAGACAGAGGAGGTGGGTTCTGCGCGTGGTCTGCTCGTGGGGCGTGGGCATTCTGCTCATGTTGGGTAACTAGGCCATGGAGAAACAGCTGACCCAGCACTTCTTCTCAGGGGTTCCCAGAGCATGGGGCGGAGATAAGCAGGCCCACTGCAGCCACAATCTCTGAACCCAGAGTCCAGCGAGCTTTAAGGCTTCTAATCCTTATAAAAGCCCTGAGAGGGAGGGTATCATTCCAATAGATAGATAGATAGATAGATAGATAGATAGATAGATAGATAGATAGATAGGTAGGTAGGTAGGTAGGTAGGTAGGTAGGTAGGTAGGTAGGTAGGTAGGTAGGTAGGTAGAGAGAGAGAGATAGCTCTATAGATAGATAGCTCTATGGATAGATTTTGATAGATGATAGATAGATAGATAGATAGATAGATAGATAGATAGAGCGGCGACTAGCCCAAGGTTGGAGCCCTGGTGGTGTAGTGGTTACAGGTTGGACTGCCATGTCCAGGGTCAGCAGCTTAAAACCACCAGCCGCTCCTCAGGAGAACGATGAGGCTCTACCCCCGTAGAGTCACAGTCTGGGAAAGCCCCGAGGGCAGGTCTCCCTGTCCTGTAGGGTTGCTGAGTGGCAGTGAGTGAGCCCAAGGTTGCACCCCAAGAAGGAGCAGGGCGAGGACTCAACCCCAAGTCCAGCAGCCTCCACTCCCTGGGAAGGACTGGAAAAAGAAAGCCATTTGGGGTTCTCCTTCCTAAGCTTGCGTTTTCTTGCTTTACAGGTTTCCTCAAAGTGAGGACTGTGCGGGGCTCGGGGTGTGTGGTGAGTATCTGGCCGGCTACGCCCGTTCAGATAAGGAGATCAGCGCCCAGGGAGGGTCGGGGGCCTGTTGGTGGTCTGCGGGCACCGCACTAACGGTGGTGTGTTGCGCCCCGTCTCCCCGCGCAGGAAGACAGCAGTGCGGTAGCCATGGAGTTGCACAACGGCACTGGCCAGCCCCTGAGCCTGCCCCCCACCACCTGCACCTACAAAGAGCGCTTCAAGCACATAATCCTGCCACCCGTGTACTCGGTGGTGCTGGCAGCCGGCCTGCCACTCAACGCCTGCGTCATCGCCCAGATTTGCACGTCCCGCCGGCACCTGACCCGCACGGCGGTGTACACCCTGAACCTGGCGCTGGCCGACCTGCTCTACGCCTGCTCCCTGCCGCTGCTCATCTACAACTACGCCCAAGGGGACTACTGGCCCTTCGGCGACTTCACCTGCCGCCTGGTCCGCTTCCTCTTCTACGCCAACCTGCACGGCAGCATCCTCTTCCTCACCTGCATCAGCTTCCAGCGCTACCTGGGCATCTGCCACCCTCTGGCCTTGTGGCACAAGCACGGGGGCCGCCGGGTGGCCTGGCTGGTGTGTGGGGCCGTGTGGCTGGTCGTAACCACCCAGTGCCTGCCCACGGCTCTCTTTGCCACCACAGGCATCCAGCGGAACCGCACTGTCTGCTATGACCTGAGCTCGCCTGCCCTGGCCACCGACTACATGCCTTATGGCATGGCCCTCACCGTCATTGGATTCCTGCTGCCCTTCATGGCCCTACTGGCCTGCTACCACAGCCTGGCCCACCACCTGTGCCGCCAGGGCGGTCCGGAAGGGCCCGTGGCCCAGGAGCGGCGCACCAAAGCAGCTCGCATGGTGATAGTAGTGGCTGTCATCTTCGCCATCAGTTTCCTGCCTTTCCACGTCACCAAGACAGCCTACCTGGCGGTGCGCTCCACCCCCGGGGTCTCCTGCCCCGTGCTGGAGACCTTTGCTGCTGCCTACAAGGGCACCCGGCCCTTGGCCAGCGTCAACAGTGTGCTGGACCCGATCCTCTTCTATTTCACCCAGAAGAAGTTCCGCCAGCGGCCACGGAAGCTGCTGCAGAAACTCACCACCAAGTGGCACAGCAGGGTCGCTGAGCCGTTGGAGGCAGAATGCCTGGGGCCTGGGCAGCCATCACGCCTGCCTCTGAGCTCCGGGCAGCAGAAGGCCCTCCAGCTCCAAGCCATGCAGAAAGTTCAGGTGAGGTCACCGCAGACCCCACGAGCTCACCTGCACCACCACCATCAGCACACCCAGCCGGACTCATAACGACCTCATAGGACAGGTAGAACCGCTCCCGAGGCTTCCCAAGGCGGGTGATCCTCCCAGGAGCAGGCTCTCCCTGGGGAGGCAAATGGCTAGCCTCAGGCGTCACCCACTGTGCAACCAGAGCTCCCCCAAATGTCAGAGTAGCTAAGGACGAAGCCCCTGCTCCGAGGTCCACAGTTGAGGCCTGTGCCTGGCTCTCGCCAGGGAGCTGGGGGAAGCATGCTACACTACTCACAACAACACAGGGGGGCATCTGCTCCAGTCCCCAAGGCAGGGGAGGAGTGGAGATGAGAGCTTTGGGAAGGAGCCTTGGAGCTGAGTTCTGAAGGAAAGCTAAGAGCGCTCAGGAAGGAGGGCGGCCCCTCATTCAGAGACCCTGGACCGGCATCCTGTGCTTGGACCTGGATTGGTTTGAGGCCCCCAGAAGAGCCAACCCCCACCCTGCCTCATACTCTGAAACTCACTGCCATCAAGTCAATGCTGACTCAGAGCAACCTCAGGTGGGTGTCCGGGACTGTAACTGTTTACAGGAGTAGAAAGCCCAGTCTTTCCCCTGCGGAGCTGCTGGTGGTTTCAAACTGCAGACCATGCGGATCTCAGCCCAAAGCCTACCCACTATACCGGTGTACATACAGGCTGTTAACTCCTGGAGGGACAGCAGGGAGAGGTGCAATGGCCCTGGGAACCTTCCCAAGGAAGCAAGCAAGACCTGGCTGGCTATGGGACGTGTGGACCACTCAGCAAACAGCAGTGGACAAACATCCTGGACTCCATCTGGGGAGGTGGGTAGGCAGAGGGCTGGGGTGGGCAGCCGCTGGCCTCGCTCACACACATGTAAGAAGCAAGGTCTGTCCCACAGCCGCCCTCCAAGAGCCCAGGCAGGGGCAGCACTACAGAGGGAGGAATCCCGAGGGCTTCTTGGAAGAGGTGGGGCTTGTGCTGGGGGCCGTCCCTAGGAGGAGAGGGTGGCTGCTCAGGTGGAAGGTACTTTATCAAACTCCAGAGCCGAAAAGTGGCAGGAAGAAAAAGCACAGGACATGGCTGGAGGCTAGGGTGTGGGGGGTAGATGGGGCTCGGGGCCACAGCATGACATGTCAAGAAGCACCCCTCAACCTCCTCGCCTTCACCCACCCTTTAAGGAAGTGGCTCTTTCAGGCTCAGCTAGTCCCCCTCCTCAAAACAACAACAACAACAACATAACTTCTAAACTTACTGCCATCCGATCAATTCGGACTCATCGCGCCCCTAGAGGTCAGGGTAGACCCGCCCGCGGGTTTCTGAGATGGTCACTCTGTACAGGAGGGACAGGATCTCTCCGAGCTGAGACACTGTGGCGGTTGCAGTCAACAGCCCAACATGTAACCACTCCACCACCAGGGCTGTAGGGCCACCTCTGGGCCTGGGGAACATCCCACAGGCCCCGGGGGAGATGGGGAATAACTCCTCAACGCCTCAGAACGCCTTCCTTCCCAAAGGTGACATGATCATTGAGATAGTGCAGGATACACACCAGCCTGCTCCCACACCCAGAAGCTGCTGCCTGGTGGCCCTGTGGCTGGGACCCACTCCAGCCCTCACAGGCCCGTGTTTTCTCTGTGGCCACCTCCGGGTTCCCTCCAGGCTATCACGTATGTCCAGGGGGCCCAGCACACCCTTGTTGCCCTCCCCAGTCCTCTTCCCCACCTCCTACCCTGCCCCATTTCTCCTTTGGTCCTTTGGTCCTTCTGCTGGATCTCGGCTTGTACCACACAGGCCTCTGAACCAGCCAGTGGCCCGTGAGCCTGCCTTCTTTGAAGGAGTGAAGTGGGGTGACCCTCTGGAGGACAGAGCTGAATCTCCAAGTCTGTGGGGGCACCAGGGGCATTCAGGGAAGAACACTGAGGATTTCAGCTCTCCATTAGAATATCTGAGGCGGGCTTGCATCTAGCACCAGGGCCATGCCCTCTTGAGAACTGCCCCAAAGCGCTCTTGTTGGAAAGGCTGGCAATTTGGGCAGGTGGTCCTTTGTTGCTTTAGTCCGCAGTGAGATAGGAGGGGGAAGGGGGGAGTGCTCAGAAGACAGAAGCTGGTTCTCATTCCTGATACAGCGACATGTCCTGGCGGGCAGTACTGGTTTTACGTGCCCACCTCCTGCCTGTTCCCAACCAGAGATCAGACTGTCAAGGGCCCCTAGGGGGAGGGGAGGGAGGGGAGAGCAGAAGAAGACAGGGCCTCTGCCCCTGCCCACAGAGCCCCAGGTAACTGCGCCACCTGACTACCAGGAGCTGTGACCTTCTGGTGGCTCTTCTGGGAGTGGAAATGGTGGGCCACATGTAAATTCCATTGTCAGCTTCCGCTTGAGAGGTAGAACAGGGTACGGGGTCCTGGGACCACCTGAGTGTGCCCTGGCTCTGCAGCTTATCGCTGTGCTCCTCCAGCGAGCTCCTGAGCCTCTTCGTGAGCCCCTCAGCTTTCTCAAAAAAAGATGCCCACCTCGTGGGATTGTATTGCCCGGTGTGCACAAAGCCCTTAGACCAGCGGTTCTCAACCTGTGGGTCGCGACCCCTTTAGGGGTTGAACAACCCTTTCACAGGGGTCGCGCGCGATTCATAACAGTAGCAAAATGACAATGATGAAGTAGCAACGACAATGTCATGGTTGGGGGTGACCCCCACATGAGGAACTGTATTAAAGGGTCACGCACGGCATTAGGAAGGTTGAGAACCACTGCCTTAGACGCGTGCTGGCTCCAGGGCGAGCAGACGGTCAGTGCCCGTGTCAGAATGATCTTGCCCTCTTGGAATACAAATCCCTCCAGGCTCACTCTGTTGGGATTAGCGGGGGGACTTTATGCAAACATCGTGTCTGTCCTTTTCTCCCTCCGGGCCTTGAGACAGCTGATGTTTATGGGGGAAACAAAACTCTGCAGACTTTTCTGAAAACCAGAGCCATCATCCCCGAGTGCCATCCGCCCCAGGAGAAGGAAGACCCAGTTCCAAGCTGGTGCCAGGGCTGCTTGCACTGCATGCAGGGCTTGAAGTCCTTATGCTACCCTTTCACAGTAGCACAATGACAGTGATGAAGTAGCAACGAAAATAATGTGATGGGTGGGGGTCACCACCACATGAGGGACTGTATGAAAGGGCCGCGGCGTGAGGAAGGCTGAGAACCACTGAGCTAGCGGAATGGTGTGTGTGTCGTTGGTGCTATATGCACCTTGGGTGAATCATCCCTTCCTTGTAACCTAGGGGTGCTGTTCTGATGCTGGAAACAGAATGGACAAAGGCCCGGCGGGGGGTTGAAAGGTAAAGCTGGAGTAGATGGGCTAGTGAGGAAAGGGCCTGGGTGCACTGGGCACCCTCACTCTGGTCTCTCAAACTCCCTGCCAATGAGCCACCCGAAAGGACAGGGTAGAAAGGCCTCTGTGTGTTTCCGAGACAGTCACTCTTTACGGGAGTGGAAAGCCTCGGGAAGCTGGTAGCTTTGAACTGCCAGGAACAACCACCACTGAGGACTGCATAACCCACACGAGGGGAACAAATAGCGCAAGTGCAGGTGAGAAGATGCATTAGATGGAAGACATGGCAAAACTAGCAACAATATATAATGTTATAATCAGGGTTCCTGGGGGCAGGGCGGGGGAGGGAGGGGATAAAGAGGAGTTGGTATCCGGGACATCAAGAAGAAAGAAAACATTATGAAACTGATGGTGGCAGCAATTGTACAATTATGCTTGATCTAATTGAAGTATGAACTGCTACAATCGCTGTAAGAGCTCCCAATAAAATGGTAAAAATAAGAACGCTCCTCCCCCATTTGTTCCTTTTCTTTCAGTCTCCACCTGGAGGCCTGTCAAGTCCTCTTTCCATTCCGAGCAACATTGTGGGATCTGCATAGTGCAGGTTGTTCATGAGTCTTCCTCCAATCCTGATGCTGCATTTTGCTGTACGTAGTCCAGCTTCTCAGATCATTTGCTCAGCATACACATTAAATAAGCACGATGAACTGTATATTTAGTATCTCAGTGCTCCCTTGCTTTAATATGGCAGGTGTTAATCTGATGGGCAAGGACCTGCCTGTCTTAGTCTGGGTAGACTAAAGAAACAAATCCAAAGACACTCACATGTGTGTAAGAAAGAGCAATTGTATATTGAGAAAACATCCCATCCAAGTCCAGATTGAGTCCATAGTTCCAATAGTAGCTCCTGTGTCTTATACTAGTCCATAAATTCCTCTTTAGAGGCACGCAGCACATACAATGACGCCAAATACAGGAAGACTACAGGCCAGGGGGTGGAAAGTCTTGTGGATCCAGTGGCAGTGGAAGCATCTCAACACTGGTGCAGGCCTCCAGGGAGAAAGACAGGCGTTCCCAGAATCCTCAGGAGAAGGCCATGCCCACACAGAGGCACTATTGGCTATGACCTGATTGACAGGCTAGACTCCACCCTTTCGCAAGTTGACAGCAGATTACGTCACTGCCACACTGCCCTTGGAAGGAAATGCTCTCCTAACACCACCACCACCCCCATGCGCAATATAAACAGAATTCAATCAATTAAGAAGCCAATCTGTACGGAGCAACAACTCATGGACCGCAACTCACAGTTGGACAATACTTGCCAAAGCTCCTCCTATCGAGTGCCTTAAATTCTATGCCACTGGATAAATTATTGATGTTATCAATACCGTATACCCAAGGGGGAGGATTGGCAGTGTTTTCCTTTTTGTTTATTTGCTTTGTTTTTGAGGCTGTTGGGCTTGATGGTTTTGTTTTTGTGTTAATATGACTGCTAAAGTAAACCAGGGTCATTCTCAACCCTCAGACAAGCAGATGGATCCCAGGCTCCCGGTTAATTTTAGCCCCATTCCAAGAATAGTTAGTTCTTAGAATATGGTCCTGCTTCAAACTCTCTTCATGAAGAGATCACTGGGGATAAGGGTGCAACTATAACGTGTGATGAAGAAAGCAGATGGTGTCTGGCTATCAACTGGAATAGTGGCTGGGGTCTTAAAGGTTTGTATTCAAATAAGAAGTCATCTAAGTGAGGCTTCAACTAAGTCCACATCGAAGAAGCACTCCAGCCTGGGTGATCCAAAGGTGATGATAACAAAATCCAAATATGACAAATGGAAAAGTATCAGAGCTTAACTTGTGAACACCCAATTTATAGAAGGCTATGGAGGACCGTGGGAGCCCCAACTCCATCTGCAGAGTACCTAGTCAGATTAAGACTACGACAAATTCCCAGAGGAATTCAAACAGCTTCACTATCAGATAGAGATTATTGTAAACTGGATTATGGTGGATAAAACCATGGTACAATATGATACTTGGGCAGTTGACCTTCCCCTTGACCCTTAAGCGTTTCTCTCTTGGCAGAAATTTCTTCTCTGGCTCTTTAAATATTGCTGGTGGTTTTTTCGGTTTTACTCTTTATTTTTATATTTTTCTTTTCTTCTTTCTGTTTTGTTTTTGTCA